GCATTCCCTGGGTGGTGGCAGAGCCTTGAGCCTGGCAGAAGTGAAGAGTTAAGGCTGGTTCCCGGGAGAGCTGGCGCATTCAGCAGGGAGCTGCCCCCTCCCTGGCATCTGGGGGAAGGTGACGCACGGCGGCAGCTGCAGCCCGGAATTAACCAAACAAGCTGCTCTTAACAACAGGGTTTGTTGTTCGCTGACAAGCAAAATTAAAAAAGAGCGGGCCCGATCCTGCGCGGTGCTGAGCCCCCATTGCCGCCGATGGGCCTGATCCTGCGCTGAGCCCCGCCGCAGCCCCCTTTGACGCCAATGGGCCCGATCCTGCACAGTGGTGAGCCCCCCCTTAGCCCCACTGACTGAGATGGGCCTGATCCCCCACTGACTCCAATAGGCCCAGTCCTGCCTGGTGCTGAGTCCTCTCTGCCCCACTGATTCCACCAGGCCGGTCACCCTGTGAATGGCTGTGCCCGTTCGGCTCCTATTGGTTCCCCTGAGCCCAGCTGCCCCCACGTGGGCTGCAGTGTCAGGCCCCCAGTGGGAACAGAGGGGTGCTCTGTCTTGCTCCCGGACCACCTGGGGTCTTCGTTCAGCTCTCCCATCGGGGGACACACGGTGGGCTCCCTAGCCCGCCTTGGTAGGAGGCTTCTCCCAGCAGCGGGGAGCACCGGTGCTCTGCCGGGCCCGGGCATGCCGGAAGCCAGCTCTTAGCACAGGGCTGGGCCCAGGGGCCCGAGTGACACACGAGGATCTGGAGTTGCGGCCGGTGGGACCAGCGCCTGCACAGGTTTCAGTGGACAGGGCAGGGCGTGCCAGTGATGTGGGGTCCCCCCGCTCCCTACACACCCGCTCTGGGATTGATGAGCCAGTGATCAGGAGTCCAGTCCAGGCTGTGGCTAGGTGGCCATGGCATGTGGTGCTCAGCCTTGGTTCTCCCGGTGCAGCAGTACCCACCTGTGACGAACTGGGTCTGTTCTTACTGGGGTGTGTGAATGCTGACAGGGGAGTGTGGCTGGGATAGTCTGCGTTGGGGGATGGGAGTCTGAGTCTGCCCGAGGGAACATACCTGAGCTTGTAACATGAGAACCCAGGAAGGGGTTGAAGGCCAGGTGACTCCTTAGCCCGGGAAACTGGACAAAAGGCTGTGGGAGGGGTCGCTGAAGGGAGTGTGCTGGAAGCGGGCTGGAGAGATGGCTGGGAGGCAGAGATGGCCCTGACCCCCCCCAAAGGGGGGTGGGCTGGGATGCCCTGGGACCCCAA